GTAGCGCTGAGGGTTTGGGGCTTCAGGTTTTGGGTTTAGGGTCTAGGCTTTAGGGCTAAGAGCTTTCGGGGTTTAGGGCTTACGTCATTAGAAGGCAGGAAAGGAGGCGGTTTCGGGCTTCGGTTTCAGGAGATTACAGGATGCTTGGGAAGGAGCGAGCAGAGATGCGTCTATTGATCGCTGGTTCCTGCAAGACGATTGGCTCTGGGATTCCGGGTTGTGGGCTAGGGTGAGGGCCGCCAGAGGTACGGAGTTATCAAAATCTTGGAGTTTGCCTACAGGGAGGGTCGGACCTTCGCGAGATACTCGCAGTACCCCAGTTTCAATAAATGGTCAGAAATGGTGACGGAAAGAAATATCATCGATAGCAAGAATCAGGCTTCAAGTCTCCTAAACTCTAAACCTTAAACCCTACACCCTAAACCAAATTTGCCATGAAAATCGGAGTGTTTATCAGCAGCATCTCCCCACCATCCAAGCAGAGTTAAGGTAGGCTACATTGCAGATGAGTAGTATTTTATTTGGGGATACTATGGTACCCAATATAGAGCAAGATTATATCCTCCTTTTGGGTATAGTAGTTTTATATAAGGAGGATTATCTTACGGGCTTGAAGCTTCGATCGCTTTTCCTTGGTCTCCTATATTTATGCTTCTTTTCAAGCGGGGTAACTTTCGTCCAGTGATAGCAGGCTGCGCAACAAAAGAAACGGGAGCTTCCCAGAAAGCACTCTTGTAACATCCTTGCTATAGGATATCACATTTTGGATCGGCGATGCTCAGGGAGGGTTTCTTTCATGCATGCCTCTCTGCTATGGTCACACGAGCCTTGCAGAAGGGATCCTAAATTCCGAAGGTTCCTTTGCGAGTAGCAACTAGAGTAAGATTATCTCCTCGTTTTGGGTATATAGTGTCTATATAGAGAACGCAACCTTACTGGGTTCACCAAAGAAGGTGCTACTCAGAATTTAGACCAGGGCATTCAGTACTGGCCAGGACACGTACGGCGTCTCCGCGTACTTCAGCGCGGCTGAAGACTGGCTGCGCTGTCGTGCGGATGCCTGGGGGAGGGGGGGGGGGTTGCTAACGGGTGAGTCGCGGATGGAACCCGAAACCCCTGAAGCCTAAATTTTGGGGGGTGGGGGGGTGCTGATCCCACCCCTGGGGGCTTGAGATGCTCATGGGATGATATAGGTGGAGTTCAGGGTGTGGCTTGGTGTAGACCCCACTGGACAATGGCGCAAACGCAAACCCTAACCCCCAAAGCCTAAACCCTAACCCTCCAAAAAAACTAGACCCTAGATCCGATGCGTACAGCTTCCAAGCAGGGATGTCCTTGTCGGAGTATTGTTAGCCGAGAGATGGAGGAAGTATGGCGGTGGCTGGTTTGTTGAATCGCGCTGTGGTGTAAGAGCACGAGCGTGAGGGAGAACATGCGCGCAGGTTTCATAGGCTGGGACAGGAGCTCACCGGCCGCCTTTACATGCCATTTTTCGTGCCCCAAGTCGTTGCGCAACGCATGAAGGACGGGATAACAAAGAAGGATTTTTTGTGAACGGGCCTCTTGCGTTAAAGCAGGACCACAGCGAATGCTGGCTGGCTCATGTCTAAGGGTGTCCTGAGTTCTTGAATTTTTTGCTGGTATCCCCTCAGATTCAGGTTGCGTTTTGCTATCACTATTGTAAAACTATTACTATTTCTATTACTGTTACTATTACGATTACCGTTACTATAGTTTTCCTGGTACTACTACCGTTACTATTATTATTTCTATTACTATTATTATTACAAATGCTATTGCCATTGCTATTATTACTACTATTACTATTATTACTATTTTTACCTTTATTACTGCTACTATTACGATTAATGTTACTATTGCTAGTATTGATATTATTATGAATGCTACTGCTATTGCTATTATTATGACTAGTACTATTGCTGTGACTGTTACTGTTACTGCGACTACTACTACTACTACTACTACTACTTCTACTACTACTACTACTACTGTTGCTACTTCAGCAAGAAACCTGACGGGCACTTTCGCAGAATTTGGAAGACGGGTCCGGCCAAGAAGGCTTCACGCAGGAGTTCCTAAAAAACACCCCTAAACCTGTCGTCTCCTTAGGAAGTATTTCCTTCATCTCTAGTATGATAAAACCTTAAGCAATTATTGGACATATCATTTTCATTTTAGCTGGCTAAGGAGACCTTCGAAAGAACGGGGGCTGCGCATGTTTGTAGCTTGATGCTGATGTGGAACATCCAGGTGCCAGAAACCTTGCATAATCTTGAGAACTCTTCGTGGTTTAGGGTTTCCGGTTTCGGGTGTATGTCATCCCTTGAAGTCTGATCCCTTCAGAACCTCATCATGCCTGAATGTCACACCTGTCATTTCCAAAGCAGGGTAGGGAATAGGATCCACGTCACAAACCAAACAGCCTTCCCAAACTGTCCCCCAAACAAACCTTACAGTACCTCCCAAGTCAGGTGAAGCTTCGTGCGCAACTTTCTCGACATGAGCCACGGTTTTGCCATGCTATAGGAAGTATGAGGGGCAGGCACAAGATGGAAGACAACTGCAAACCGAGAACAATATTTTGTAGTACCCCTATAGTATCCCTGTAGTGTCCCCATGATATGCCTAGAATATCCCTACAACATCCCTATCACATGCCAATAACATGCTTGTAAGATCTCCTATAGTACTTGCAAGATATCCTTATCATATCCATAATATTGTAGTCCGTATAAAACCATATAACTTCCCAGCAATATCCCTACAATATCCCCATAATATCCTAAAGTTCCGTACACGGTGCCCAACATATTCCACTAAACACTAGTAACCCTAATCTTTAAACCCTTGGCAGTTGAGCTGCTCTACCGCGGCTCAGGTCGAATCTTGCGCTTGGCTCCAGATGAACGCCCACAGGCGCTGAAGGCCACCACTTTGGTTTGGGTTGGGGTAATCCCCTCCCCCTAATAATAAACCCCCCACCCCCCTAATAATAAATATTCCCAATATATTATAGTAT